TTTTAAATGCACATTAATGCAGTTATTTAGATATACAGTACATACTGTATATACACTGCATAACTTTTTCATCAGATAGTTTTTATGGCAGGATGCACCTAATAGAGTACATTCCACTTTTTAATACATGTTTCACACAAGTCAATACAATCGTCAACCCTATAAAACAAAAATAAAGGGTGTAAAAAAGTTTTTAAAAATAGTGTTTACTTTAAAAAAATTATGACAGTTGCAACCTACTTTGGTCTTTGCACTGCTTTTGTTAGCTGTTAGCGTAACTGTTTTGTCCATATTGTTTTTTTTCCTCCAAATTGAATTTGTTAGAAAAGGTATTTACAGCAGGCAAAGATTTATTTTGCTCAAAGCTCTCCACTGAACCCCACTTCAAATAATACATCACTGCTGAGTGACGATTAAAAGGTAAAAATCTGTCGACACCTGCAATGGCTAAATTCTGAAGAAGTTGTCTATAAAGCACCAGCTGTTGAAAGCACAGCAAAGTTTGCTGTAAATCAATCTGCCTTTTTTTTATTTATCTTAAGGATCTTAAAATCCTAATGTTAAATTGTCCTGGTCTCACAGCAGGTGTTAGAGTCTGAGCTTGTATTGACTAAAGTAGGTTAGCCATAATATTAAATATACTCACTAATACAAACACACACACACACATACATACACACCCCCTACGGTGGTCATGAGAGCATTTGGCAGCTGATAACAGCAGTACTTTTAGCTTTTTTTTTTTCACTTCAACATTAAGGTCAGCCCTAAAGACATATACATTCCATACACACATCGGCACGCACACACAGTCACACGCCAATCGCATGGCTTCAAAGACCCTCAGTCAACCTGTGAAAAATTCACTTTAAAACATCTTCAAATAAATCAATTTCCTCCTGCTTTAACCATCATCAGAAACATGTTTGAAGTTGTGTTTTTTATTAGCAGAGAGGGCAGGGGATGGTAATAATTTTTCCTCCCTTCCAGTTTCCTCCCCACCCCTTTCCTCCTCCTGCTTTGCACCTCCTTCTGCAGGCTATAAACTTAAGTTACAAGTGTTACTCGGTTCATGCATGTGTTGTCTGAGAGCACACTCCATCATCTAAGTGTGCGTGTGTGCATGTCCGCGCAGATGTGTCAGTGGACTGTACTTTAAAGGAGATGTTTGATGTTTCCTCCTGCAAGCCCTCTTGTTCCCCGAAATTACACTTATAAAAAGAAACAGAGATGTGAAAACACTATCCACCCAAATGTCGTTGAATCTCTCCCCCTGAAGATTATACCCACTCCCATGCATCACAAAAGCTTCACAGAAATCACAAGTTGCATTTTATTCTGTATAGTTTGATTTTACAGAATAAAAGCATAATTGTTAAGGCCGTGTCACACTATAACAATAAAGACAACTTATGCCAACTTATGAAAAGTTTGTCAATCACTAAAGATGTCTAAACGGAAGTTGGAATAAAAACAATCAATGGAAGCCTCTTTTGGATCTATACATACTATAATGCTTACAATTACATTGAATATATAGCCAATATGTCATATAGTGTGTGTGTGTGTGTGTGTGTGTGTGTGTATGTATGTATGTATGTATGTATGTATGTATGTATGTATGTATGTATGTATATATTGTATATATATATATATATATATATATATATATATATATATACACAGTATAGTATATATATATACACAGTATAGTGTGACATGGCCTTTAGACAGAATTGTCTGAAAGGTAAAGACAGTAGACAGGATTAAGGGTCGAGGGCAAAGGAAAGCAAAATGTAAGTAAATGTAATTTCATTGTGCTCCGTACAATGACAATAAAGGCATCATCATCATCATAAAAAGTAAGATTCTACTGGAAAGAAGTGAACACAAAGTTACAGAGACGCGTGAATGTGATTAAGTGGTCTGGTTTCACTTTACACAATCAGATTATATCTGTCCTGGCAATTATATTAGGAAGGTTATCCAAACCACCTCAGTTTGCTCCTGTACGTGTGTGTTAGCAGTTAAATGAGGAAGTAGGGGTGGGGGGTTTCCCAATGAAATTGGACATGGTCTTTCATCATTTAATCACCACGTTATGGTCTGAGAATGACCCTCACCCACTTCTACAGATGCATACACGTCCTCACAGCTTCCCACCTCACATCCCTGCTGTTTCATCTCTCCCTGCTCCCACTCTGGTTGCTGGCTACTTTCATGCACGCGCACACACACTATTATAGGGGTCAGAGTGTTCAGCAGCAGGTGTGTTGATTGGACAGGTGTACTGCTCACTATGTGTCTGTTTGGCCCGTGCTCCCGCTCCAATCATATTTCACCAGCTGGATAAAGACTGGCAGATTAACACTGAGGCAGGCACAGTCCTGCCATCGCAGCAGTGACAATCTCTCCACTGGTTCGTATGGTATTGTCTGCCCTGTCAGTGACTCAACCCTGCAGAGTGGTGTAATGGTTAGACAGACCACCAGATGATCTGACTCAGCATGTAGCCTCCGTACTGATGTGAGACACTGAAATCTCAGCAGGGCCATGGCTGCTGGTTTCAGCCTTTGATTTGTTGCAGGAAGGAATGACGACAATGAGAAGTTATTATTCATTGTTTCCAAACTTTTCTGAACATTTTTACTTAAAGGAATTGAAGGGTGTACTGTCAATATGCTGATAAATGCTTAAGTGATGTCTTTTTAGTATACAACCCCAATTCCAATGAAGTTGGGACATTGTGTAAAACATAAATAAAAACAGAATATGGTGATTTATTTGTTTTTGTGATTATATGGTGATTTACAAATACTTTTCGATCTATATTCAATTGAATACACTACAAAGACAAGATGTTTAATGTTCAAATGGATAAACTTTGTTTGGTTTTTTGCCTTATTTCCCTCTGGGATCAATAAAGTATTTTTGAATTGAATTGAAATATTCACTCATGCAGAATGTGGCTTGGCATTGTATTGCTGAAATAAGCAGAGTGTCCTGAAGAAGACGTGGATTGGATAGCAGCATATGTTGCGACAAAACCTGTAAGTACCTTTCAGCATTAATGGGTACCTTCACATATGTGCAAGTTATCCATGCCATGGGCACTAATACACCCTCATACCATCAGAGATGTTGGCTTTTGAACTTTGCGCTGATACCAATCTGGACAGACCTCTTTGGCCCGGAGGACATGACGTCCATGATTTCCAAAAAAAATTTAAAATGTGGACTCATCAGACCACAGGACACTTTTCCAATTTGTATCAGTCCATCTCTGATGAGCTCAGGCCCAGAGAAACTGACAGCATTTCTGGGTGTTGACTTTGGCTTTGCATAGAGTTTTAACTTGCCCTTGTAGATGTAGAGACGAACTGTATTCACTGACAATGGTTGACTGTAACGTTTCTGAGCCCATGTGCTAATATCTGTTACAGAGTGATGTACAGTATTTTAATGCAGTGCCGCCTGAGGGATCGAAGGTCACGAGAATTCAGTTTTGGTGTTTGGCTTTGCCACTTGCAGAGATTTGTCCAGATTCTTAGAATCTTTTGATTCAGGTGTACTGCTCACTATAATACAGAATAACAGACTGTAGATGAAGAACGTTACTTGCAATTGTACATTGATAAACCTTTTTCTTCAATTGTTGGACTATTTACTCACACAGTTGTTCAAAGTGGTGAACCTCGCCCCATCCTTGCTTGTAAGTGACTTAGCCTTTCGGGGATGCTCTCTTTATACCCAATCATGACACTCACCTGTTTGTAATTACACCTGTTCACCCAAGGAAAGCTCCAAACAGTTGTTTTTTGAGCATTCCTTATCATTTCCAGCCAGCTTTGTTTCCTCTATCTCAGCTTTTTTTTAACTTGTTGCAGGCATCAAATTCAAAATGAGTGAATATTTGATAAAAGCCAAGTGTAACCCCAAAATAATTTTTAATACATTTTAAATAAATATCAAGTGGGGCATCATGGTGAAAGCTAAAAAGTGTATTTGTTTGAACATTAAATATATTGTCTTTGTAGTGAACTCAATTGAATATATGTTGGTTTTGTTTTTGTGTTTTACGCAACGTCTCAACTTCATTGTAATTAAGTTTGCATTTTTTAAAATTTTCTTAGGAAACTGGTCATACACAGCAAACCTTCTTTGACTTGGAAAATAAAATAAATATTTTATATATATTGAAAAAAAACATCACTAGTGACACTAATTTACTAAGAGCAGCCGTTTTAAATCCCACAAACAACCACACAATACAAACCATCCAATTAGTTTCTACAGTGATTGGAAAAAGTGGATAATTGCTTAATCTGCACAATACATCACTGCATTTGTCAACTTTGTTTCTAGTTGGAAATGTGTTTTGCAAAAAAATAAAATTGTATACAATTTTTATTTACAGGAATAAGTCATTAAGAACTAATTTTGTTTCACAGGGAGGTATTATTATATGTTTTTGTTTTCTCTTTCCTCCTGCTGTGATCAGCCAAGGTTTTTAGTTGCCATGATGAAATAATAAGAAACTCAAATCCCTCTGGTGTATATCACAGCTGCTGCCATATTTTTTGACCTTGAGGGCTTATATAAATGGAACTGAAAGTACTGTTTTGTTTAGTTACTTTCTTTTCAGAGACTAGCTAAATAACGATGTGGAGAAACCAGTTTCAAGCAGCAGTTAATTGAAAATGTAATTGACAGATGTGAGGGAGCATGCAGAGCTTTGCCGACTCGGAGAAAAGGTTTATGCAGCTTTGTGTTTCATGAAAAATCACAGAAAAGTGCTGCAAAGATCCAGATTTGCTCACTTAATGACACATTCAAGAATAATGCCAACCATTATTACTTTAGGTTTTGCGAGTTCTTTTTTTTTTCAGTAGATATATTTTTACACAAACATAATTTCTTTCCAAATTTGAATTTAGAACTATTCTAGGTTTAATGTACAAGTTTTCTTTAAGTTCACATTGATCTCTCGTGATTTCCAGGTGCTGGTACCTAAGAGGCTGGAATTCAAAGGGAAGATGATTGAGGTGTACATTTACGAGGCAGGGAAACACTTTATGAAAGGGAAACCAGTAGAAGACAGTGAGCCGTTCACTCCCTCCATCGCTGCGCCTCTTCAAAAGGGAGAAGTGTCTGGTTTGATGCAGGTAACACTCACAAATGCACACACACACCTGAAATAAGTGCATTCTACTAACATTTTTTTTACCACTAAATAATTACTATGGCTAAAGAGAGAGAAATGCAACATAAAAGCAACTCATGATCAAAAAATTTACATTTACAAACTAGAAAAGCAAGGCTCAGGTGGTCAAGTGGTTGTCTTTTAATCAAAGGATCAATCGCTCCTATCCGAGTGGTAAAATATATTTGGGCAATATATTGAAACTCTTATTTTCTCAGCTAAGCTCATCAGTGTTATTGTAGATGTGTATAGCACTGAATATAGAGTGCAAATTAGTTATAAGAACACTGCTTAAGTGTTTGTGTGAACTGATGAATGAAAAACCTTGTAGAGCGCTTTGTTGGAACCTACAGAAGATTAAAAGATGCTAGACAAGTATACAAGTACAGACCATTCATTATAATAACAACAAAAAGCTTCTACTCTGTGCTAAAACACCATATATGTTGATCTCTTCAAATCTCAGAGGAATTAATTTAACAAGCTCAACACAATTCTAATAGTCTCAAATCAGTCTCATATGCAATTCTTTGTTTCACTTTCCTGCATGAGTTAATAACTATATATTAAATGGTGACAAAGATACTAAAAGGTCAGCAATACAGTATTTTCTGACACATATTTGATGATGAAATAAAGACAGCTAAGGAACTTAGGCAGGGTTGGCTAAGTCCTGGTGACAAAACCACAAAATATTTCATACTAATCGTGTGGTTTACATAAAGCAGTGTTGCCCCACCTCACCTGTTATTATAGGAATTCCTCTGAAATGTTGTCCCCATTAATTAAAAAAAGAAAAGAAGAATAACATTGATTGTGAAAAACCCAGTTGATCACAGCTTGCCTGCCAGAGGTGCTTCTTCTATCACTCTTTTAAAGGTCCTGTCACACTTTAACACTTCAGACAACTTATGCCAACGTGTGACAACTTTGTTCAACAATAAAGATTTCTGCATTGAAGATGGGATAAAACAATCCCCTGTAAACCTCTTTTGGACATATACACACTGTAATGCTAACAAGTTGAACAAATTTATAAAATATATGAGTAATTTCTGCATAACATTGTAGTGTGACAGGTCTTAAAGTTTACAACATTCTAAAAGAGGTAAACCAGCAGCTGGGGAATGACATTTACAAGGGAGCTTCTAAAATGTCTCGAAGAAGGGCATAAAATAATAGAATATGCTTTTTCAAGCTGTCCATGCAAAAGCAGGCTGCGGTTTTCAAAAACTGTTCACTCAAAATGCAGCTGCATGGCCTATTGGTTGTAAACATTCAGAACTCAGTGAGAATGCAACAAAAATATCCCCCTTTTTCTTGCTCATTTGAGTCACCAAGTAGACTCCTACAGGCATATCCCACTGAGAGACTGGCTTTAGTGTGGCTGGCTAGCTGGATTATTGACCAGCTAATTTCAACCTGTCAGGCTCCCAGCTTGACTACACAAGGAGCAAAGTAGCAGAAAAGAAGAAAGATTGAGCACAATAAGCATTTTGCTTTAAAAAGCCAAAACAAATTTCATTTTTTATTCTTAGTTTTTGTTTAGCTCTGCCATCTTTATGTTCATTGTTAAAATGAAAACCATGCTGACACTCTGGTTAAAATTAAGGTTTAGACTTTGATCTCAAAATATCAGTAGCTGAAACAAATCTAAATCACTGTTGTGTCTTTAAAACTGCTGCCACTGATTGTCACCAGATTAACTTGTATTCTTGTTTTACTCTCTTTATGCTTATCTGGGCATTAGAATTAAAATAATTAAAATAAATATGATCAAATATAGTATTATAGGTATAATATAGTCATTATTGTGGTAATGTGCTATTGAAGTAGCAGCAGTAATAATAGTTTAATTTCTGTTTTTAAATCAAATGAATTAGATCGTATGATACATTTTAATGTTTTTGTTTCAGTACCATCAGGTTGTTAAACTGTAATAATTTTGTTCAAGTTTATCATGCTGTCAAACTTCCATGCCAGTCCATGCCTAGCGAAAACACTCTGGTATGTGTGGTTTATTTAGGAAGGAATGAGTTTATTTAAAATGAATGTAACAGCTATCTGAATGAAATCACATAACACACAGGTGATGACAGACCCTGTGTGTTCCTGCTCTAAAAACCCGAAAAGCTATGTTTCTAACCAGCTCTTCTGCTTCTTTAACCCTCAACAACCAATACATTTTGAATATTGGTCCTTATTTCAAATCTATGCTTAACTTTGTGGTTTGTGAAAAAGCAGCGGTGTTTCATCCGTGAGATAAGTAATTTTAGATAAGCTTTTGCTGGCTAAACTGTTCTCTATCTTCCTTTTTCACCACACATCGCAGACCCACACAAAACCGTGGTAATGTATCTGTTTCACCGCATGTTATTTTTCACTCTGACTAGCTGTAGCTTATAGCTGAGGACACAGAGCCACAGATCAGAATATGATACACTTTCTAATTTCACACTCCATCAGCCTTTACTTCCAGAGAGGGAGGAGGAAAGAAAGGTACTGACACAGACATGAGAGAAAGGGGGGATGAAGGGGAAAGCAAGCAGAGAAAGAAATGGATAGCAGAGAATTAAATAAAAAAGAAAGGTTATACATCAAGCCAAGTAATATGTCACTCAGCAATAAAAAGTTCAGCAGTGGAGACTGGGCCCTGTAAAATTACTTGGTCATAAAGTCTTCAGTCAGTCCAGCACACGCGCACGCACACACACACACACACACACACACACACACACACACNCACACACACACACACACACACACACACACACACACACACACACACAAAGGCTTACACTTACTAACAAAACAAGCACTCACTCGCCCAAACTCAAATTCTTCCAACAAACAACTTCATGTCCTGGTTTTATTTTGAGAATTTAGATGAGATTTACAGACTTTTTTTTTTCCACAAAAGAATCATACAAACATAACACATCATTAAACACATTGTCATATCTTTCTTCCGGTAACACCTTGGTATATTTTATAATTATTACTTGATATTCTGAGAATTTAAATAGCATAAAGTCCAACACATTTGAACAGTTATGAAGAAGCATCTGTAGAATACAGCTGTAGACAGAGGTCACATTCTGGATGAATTAAAGGCTTAAAGCTGGTTATGAAATGGGTTTTTATGTCCACGGGGAACAACTGTGGTGAGGTGTTTTACCAAAGTACCAAGCTATAGTATAAATAAGTTATTTTTTACATGGTTAAAAAGGAAAAGAAATGGTAAGAAAGTCAGAATAAGAACCACGTAAATAAAGAATCTAAGCTTTTAATTTATTGTTATATTTGAACTTGCAGGAATGTGTTAATACTTGTATATGCTTTCCACAGCATACTGCATGTGCAGTAACCACTTACTTTTGACAAGTGATCTCCAATGAGGCTGCTGATGTCTATTTTTCAGTCCTTATGACCTGCATTGGCTGTTCTTAATGGCTCTTGTGCACAATGCAATAATTGACCTAATGTTGTGGAAACAGCTGTATCTGCAGGCTGCACACACAGCTTTTTTCAGTGCAGAGTCATCTGCTATATGTAATGTCCTTGACAGCTGATTGTATAAATTTCAGTCCTTATAAAATGGCCTACTTAGTCTTTTCCCTATGGCACACATTGTTTATGATTGAATCAATGACTCCTTTCTGTCCAGGTCTTGCAGCTACACGCCAAGTTATGACTCCTTCAGTACTGTGTTAGATCTTCGGTTTGAGGTGTTTGTAATGATAGGCTGTTTGGTTTTTGTCGAACATGGTGAAATGTAATTTTGCCTGAGATTTTTACTTTTTTTCCTGTCCAGTAAATCTTGTTTCAGACATTTGTAGTTTGAAGTCAAAGGCATACTGCTGTTTATTATTTAGAGTTGGACGTGTCGGAGGTAGTCAAAGTTTTATTTAGTGATTTGTTTTGGGGGTTTTTTCCCTCTCATTTATGCTTATGAACTGTTGTGTTTTTTGTCATTGTTCTCTGAAAAATCTAATCCCCAGTGGTGGGCACCAGCCCGCTAAAGCGCATATCCAGTAATTGCGGACCTAAATATTTAGTTAGTGCTTAAGCGGTCGTACAATTTTTTTTATAATTCATAAGCGGATTTGCACTTTCTAAAATTAAAATGCAGTACCGCTAATAACTAATTATCTACCAGTTATCATTATCTTGAACAGCAGAAGGTAAGGCTGTCAAGGAATCACAACACACATGATCTATCCAAACGCACCCCTCCCAGATAAACACACTTATTGGAAAGGTATACATCCTTGCTGACTGTTGCTTTCGGTCACGGTTCTCATTTCCCACAATGCTTTGTGTCTGCTTACGTAGCAGGAAGGCAATGGTTAGAAGTCCCTGTTCCAGCAAAATCAGTTAATGTTTGTAATCCATACTAAAATTTTGTATGTATTGATTTATTTTACTTTACAATCGGAGCTACTTTTTTAAAAATGTTTAAACGCTGGAGCTCAATACTTGACGTAATTGGTCGAAGCAATCGGCCAACGGGGTTAGAGACGCAGAAATAATTTAAAGATGTTATGCTGATGAAGACWGACATCTAGTGGTCAACTGGAGCAACAACATGGAAAACTTTAAAATCCGACCATGCTCTTATTTTGAAGTGAAGATAGTTTCCTGTACTCGACAGATTTAATTTTTGACGGGAAACAAAAGCACTTTCCCGTCAAAAATTAAATCTGTTGTGTACCCAGAATGCATCGCTTCAGTTTTCCAATAAACAGTTTTAAAATTACTTTATTGATGCTTCTTTAATGAAAAATCTACAACAAACAAAAGAAAAAGACAAAGAAGCAGCCGAACTAGCAATCCTCAACAACTTTTAAATATTTACACCAAGAGCCAAAGGTCTGTTTCATGAAATCACATCCCCAGCAATCGGCGGTTGTAGGATTAAGCTGTAAAAGAGTTCATACATCGCTAGTTGGCAGTATTGTG